CTTTGTAATAGGTTACCTGTAAATAAGTACATGTTATAGGTACTGTTGTTATTACCTGTTTGACATCAGTACTTTGTAATACGTTACCTGCAGGATGCTGGGGTATGTTTTGTTTTCTTTAATAGCCACTGTATACACAGGCCTCGTGAAGACCGGACAGGTGTCATCTACATCAGTCAGGTGTACCTCCACAGTAGCCTCCCCTGACAGAGGAGGGTCACCATCTATAAATCAGAGGTCAACTCCTGAAGTTAACACTCACCAGCATAAAAAATACTGTAAAACACGCCTATAATACATTGACACTTATACTGTAAAACACGCCTATAATACATTGACACTTACAGCCAAGTGATTTCCATTCCTAGTGTCTTCAAAATATATTCTAAATATAACAGATTTTTTTAACTCCCAAAGATAAGACTATTTCATATTATGATATTGTTTTGTAAATAAATTTATACAATGTACATCAAAAGATTAACATTATAATTTGTAGATATTGACTTTTACCATCTTTGGCTGTCAGTGACAATACATATGTCTGCTGACTCTCGTAATCCAGCGTCTTATTATCATTCATTAAGGAGAGGACTCCTGTAGTGCTGTTTATTGAAAACAATTCTTTGTAGTTTTCCAGGGTGTATGTTACTGTCTGGCCTTTGTCGGCATCAAGAGAACTGATCTGAAACATTAAGACAAGGTATCATCAACTAGTTCTTTTTTGGTTTAGTAAAAACTATTTTAGCTAATAGAATCACGGACAACTGCACTTTACCGGTACGTCCAAATAACGTGGAAATAGCACGTGCTCTTTCTCTATAAGAGAGTCATGCGTCAGCGTGACGATTTCGCTAAAAAGGCAATAAAATGCAAAAATAAGTAAACCTATTTTTTGAATTCCTCATCATTTTTCATGTTAATAAACTTCGTTTGATTAATGAAGTTATTAATTAAAACTAAAAGCACTTTCAAAACAAACCTTTGGCTTTCATTTTGTCGGCCACATTCCAAAGTCATGACGTTGTTACGCACGTGACTTATTTCAGTGCTGTAATTGGTCAAGGTAAGTGACATAATGTAGATTTTGACAGTTGCGCTAAATGTAAACAGTGGAATCAGCTGATTGTAGTACTATGCCTTTTGTTTACGATGATTTGTATGAGGTATGCCGTGAATGGAGATTTTTAATTGATTGGCTGCAAAATTTTGGACTTCTCGGAAACTTTAGTGGGAAATGTAACTCGTGCAATGATGGAAATGTTAAATTAGTGGAGGACAAATCTTACAGTAAGGACGGTATTGTTTGGAGGTGTAGTAATAGACAGTGTAACAAAAAAACGTCAGTAAGCAAGGGATCTTGGTTTTTCGGAAGTCATTTACTTCTAGAACAGGCAGTAAAATTAACCTACTATTGGGTACATGAACTACCCGGTGATTTTATTGGACGGGAACTTAAAATTGGAAGTGATCACACCATTGTGGACTGGAAAAATTTTGCGCGAGAGGTGTGTCTCTGCATTTTAAAACAGGACAGTGAGAGGATTGGTGGGCCAGGAAAGCACGTAGAGATCAACGAAGGTAAGTTTGGCAAGAGGAAGTACCATCGCGGTAAGAGAGTTGACGGTGTTTGGGTGTTTGGTGGGATTGAAAGAGAGTCAAAGAAGTGTTTTTTTGAGGTAGTGGAGGACAGGAGCACAAACACCCTGATTCCTATTATTAAGAAATTTGTAGAACCTGGAACCATTATCTTATCAGACTGTTGGAAAGCTTATTGTAGTTTGAAGTCAGAGGGATATGATCATCTAACTGTCAATCATTCGATCGAGTTTAAGAATAAGGAAACTAGAGCCTGTATAAATCTTATTAAATCTACTTGGAATGCAGTAAAGAAGTCTCTACCCAAAACTGGAACAGAGAAACAGCACTACGACAGTTATCTAATTGAGTATTGCATAAGAACGTAGTATCTGAAAGACGTAGACAACAAATTTATCGCCTTTCTTTCCCTCATCAAACGTATTTACACCTGCAAAAAAGACAACCATTGGCCACTTTGACTCCCGATGACAATTAACGTAGACCATCTGAATGCCAGTGCAGACTTATTTGATGACTAAAGGTAAGTTTAATCACATAATGTAGCATACATTGGGGGCTGCTGCCCCCAAACCCCCGCCGTTTACCTTTCGCTCGCTTCCTAACAAAACAAGAGGCCCAAGGGCCTTGAATCGCTCTTCTGATAAATTGTACAACCTATCACTTGTATTTGAAGCCTCTAACCCTAAGTATCCTATTAAAGACCCAAGTTGCATCACCTGACAAAGTTTGATGATTCTTAGCCAATTAGAACTACTTTTTGGTCTACATTCTTGGAAATCACAAAATGCATCAAGTGACAAAGTTTGATTATTCTAAGCCAATAAATACCTAAGATACTTAAATATAGCCATAAAATGTCGAAAGTAGGTCATCGTGACCTATATTTTAGTTGACATTTTTCAGAGTCCCAAGATGCATCTGCTGACCAAGTTTGATAATTCTAAGCCAATAAATACCTGAGATATTCAAAAGTAGGTCACTGTGACCTACTCTTTGGTCAACATTCTCAGAAAACCCAAGATGCATCAACTGACAAAGTATGATGATTCTTAACCAATAAGTACCAGAGATACTTAAATATAGCCATAAAATGTCGAAAGTAAGTCAGCGTGACCTACATTTTGGCTTGACATTTTTTAGAGTCCCAAGATGCATCTGCTGACCAAGTTTGATAATTCTAAGCCAATAAATACCTGAGATATTCAAAAGTAGGTCACCATGACCTACTTTTAGGTCGACATTCTCCGAAAACCCAAGATACATCAACTGACAAAGTATGATGATTCTAAATCGATAAGTACTAGAGATACATAAATATAGCCAGAAAATGTCAAAAAGTAGGTCATCGTGACCTACTTTTTGGTCGACATTCTCTGAAAACCCAAGATGCATCAACTGACAAAGTTTGATGATTCTAAGCCAATAAGTACCGGAGAATACTTAAATATAGCCATAAAATGTCGAAAGTAGGTCACGGTGACCTACATTTTGGTCGTCACTATCCGTAAACCCAAGATGCATCAACTCACAAAGTTTGATGATTCTAAGCCAATAAATACCTAAGATACTTAAATATAGCCATAAAATGTCGAAAGTAGGTCACCCTGACCTACATTTTGGTCGACATTTTTCAGAGTCCCAAGATGCATCTCCTGACCAAGTTTGATGATCATAGGTTTGAAGGTAATCAAAATATGCCTTTTAAACAATTTGAAAACAAATGCCTGCAAAATTCTAAAAGTAGGTCACAGTGACCTACTTTTTCTTAAATATGTTTTAGGGTCCCATGATGCAGCAACTTACAAGATTTGATGATTCTAACCCTTTCAGTGCCTGAAATAATGGGATTAAATGTTTTGAAAAGGATAAGTCATAAAGTTCAAAAAGTAGGTCACGGTGACCTACTTTTAAGTTGACATTGTTTAAGGACCCAAGATGCATCAACTGACTAAGTTTGATGATCATAGAACTTAAAGTATCCAAAATATACCTTTAAATCAATTTGAAAACAAATGCCCGCAAAATTTAAAAAGTAGGTCACCGTGACCTACTTTTGAGTTAACATGATGTGAAGTCCTAAGATGCATCAACTTACAAGATTTGATGATCCTAGTCCTTATAGTAAGCAAAATATTAACATTTTTATTAATTGTAAATTTAGGTCAACTTTAAAGTGACCTTGAGACCACACCCTTTGCCCCAGGGTCATGCCTTGAACAATTTTTAATCTTCAACATATCCTGATCCTTGTATGTAAGTTTGGTGAAAATCTGCCTGGTGGTTCTGGAGAAGAAGATTTTTTAGCAACCAGTACTTTTTGTTTTGTTTTCCTGATTATCTCCCCTTGATTCAGGGTCCCAACCCTTATTTTAGTATAAATGGTAGCCCTGGGCCAAGGATACCTTGTGACAAATTTGACACTGATTGGCCAAGGGGTTCTTGAGTTATGGCCCATATTCTAACAAGTTTACGCACACCGCACAAATGGCCATAGCATTAGCTCTTTAAGCCTTTGGCTCAGAAGGGCTAACAAATTATGGCTTTGTCATTCATAGTTGATACATTTTTAAGAATTTTTATATATTTCCATGTAAAACTTTGGTCGGCCATTTTGGCCCAGCCTTACCCCCGGGGGTTATGCATTTGAACAAACTTGCATTACACTACCTGACATGTATTATGTACAATAACTGAATATATTAATACATCAGAAGGTTTTTACTAGAATTTTCCTATAGTATTTTTAAACTTTGTGACCATTTTGGCCCCAAGCCTATATATTGGGGTCATGAATTCCAACAAACTTGAATCTACACTACCTGAGCATGCTTCCATATAAATTTGATGAATTATGGCTTTTTCATTCTTGAGAAGAAGATTTTTAAAGAATTTTCCTATATATTTCTATGTAAAACTTTGGTCGGCCATTTTGGCCCCGCCCTACCCCCGGGGGTCATGATTTGAACAAACTTGAATCTACACTACCTGAACATGCTTCCATATAAATATGATGAATTATGGCTTTGTCATTCTTGAGAAGAAAATAGTTCTATGAGATTTTAATTCAAAATTGAAAATATAGTCTGTTCATAGAACAGTTTCAATCTTGATTTGCAAATAGGTGAATATACTATGAAGTATTATAATTAATGCAACAATTCCATGAAAGTGATGATTAATAGATTAACTGACAGAAGACATCACCTATCAAAACAAACAATGGACTTTGCTTTCTAATCTCTTATCCAAATTGATCAGAAGTTTTTCTTTATTGGACTTACTCTCATTCACTGGTTTTATTGAGTACGACAGAACTGAGTTAGAATCTCTGTCCACGGCTCTCACTACCCCGACTTCTGTCCCACTATCCTGATTTTCTCCTACACTGAACTTATATTCACTCTGCTGAAATTCTGGCTCCTCGTCATTAGTGTCGTTCACAGTGATCATCACATTACACATGCTGAAATAAGGAATTGCTGAATTTATAAAAAGAAAAAAAAGCAAAATTCTTTTCAAAAGTATTACTATAAAAGAATTTTAAAAGACATTCATGTTCTTAATTAATAACCACTGAAAATTTGTATGCCATCATAAAAAAACAAAAACAAAACCTCAAAGATGAGCCAATTAATTTTCATCTCAATACAAAAAAAAATAGCAATTAATAATTTTGAAGTATTGCTTTACCATAAAAATGGTTTGAAATTTACTTGCATGGTATATAAGTTATAGACACAAAACCCATGTCTTGTGACGATGATACCAGTAGATAACTTCTTTACAAGCAGTAATGAAAAAGTAGATGTTTATTTTCTAAATTGTGTAATGAAAATGTGCAACTTCATATTGAACATTTTTAAGCGACATCATGCAATTGAAGCTTCAAACCATCAATACTCATTTTCATTCTTTTGTATGTGTGTGTATATATGTCCCCCTTAAGTTAAAATAATTATCTCTAAATGTAACACTACACTACAGTCACTACAAACATGACAACCAAAATGTCTTATCAATGTCCCAGTAATACCCATAAAAAATTGAGTATTGTAGACTTTTCTGATGTGACAGTAAAATATTGTATGGTTACCTTGTGAGACTGCTCTCATTTCTGTCAATGGCCTTTACAGTAAGAATAAAACTGTGATCTCCGGCATCATAATCCATCATCTGCTTCAGTTTTATTTCTCCATCACCGATTATCTGGAACTACAAATAGAAAAACAAGAGGCCCATGGGCCACATCGCTCACCTGAGAATCTTTTGTCAATTGTTCTTTACCAGATTTCCCCCTTGTAATACATATTATGGCTCTGCCCTACCCCCTGGGGTCATGATTTACTAGCCCAGGGTGCATCCACATCAGTTTCAGCTTTTCTGGCCCAGTGGTTCTTGAAAAGAAGATTTTCAAAGATTTTTCTTATATATTTCTATGTAAAACATTGATGCCCCATTGTGGCCCCGCCCTACCCCCTGGGGTCAGGATTTGAACAATTTAGAATCTACACTACCCCAGGGTGCTTCCACATCAGTTTCAGCTTTTCTGGCCCAGTGGTTCTTGAAAAGAAGATTTTCAAAGATTTTTCCTATATATTTCTATGTAAAACTTTGATTCCCCATTGTGGCCCCGCCCAACCCCCGGGGGTCATGATTTGAACAATTTAGAATCTACATACCCCAGGGTGCTTCCAAATCAGCTTCAGCCTTTTTGGCCCAGTGGTTCTTGAAAAGAAGATTTTCAAAGATTTTTCTTATATATTTCTATGTAAAACTTTGATTCACCATTGTGGCCCCGCCCAAACCCCGGGGGTCATGATTTGAACAATTTAGAATCTACACTACCCCACAATGCTTCCACATGAGTTTCAGCTTTTCTGGCCCAGTGGTTCTTGAGAAGAAGATTTTCAAAGATTTTTCCTATATATTTCTATGTAAAACTTTGATTCCCAATTGTGGCCCCGCCCTACCCCTGGGGGTCATGATTTGAACAATTTAGAATCTACACTACCCCAAGGTTCTTCCACATCAGTTTCAGCTTTTCTGGCCCAGTGGTTCTTGAGAAGAAGATTTTTAAAGATTTTTCCTATATATTTCTATGTAAAACTTTGATTCCCCATTGTGGCCCCGCCCAACCCCCGGGGGTCATGATTTGAACAATTTAGAATCTACACTATCCCAGGGTGCCTCCACATAAGTTTCAGCTTTATTGGCCCAGTGGTTCTTGAGAAGAAGATTTTTTAATGACCCCACCCTATTTTTGTCTTTTCTTGATTATCTCCCCTTGTAAGGGGACTTGTCCCTTCATTTTAACAATTTAAATTCCCCTTCACCCAGGGATGCTTTGCACCAAGTTTGGTCAAAA